AAATCCCTCTCTGCCACCACAACAGCTTCCAAGCTTCGACAGCTGCTCGTCCTGTTTGTGCTTCAACTTGTCACAAAGCTTCTACTTCTCTCAACGATAACTTAAAATTTATTCGAAAACAAAATTGTATGTCAGAGCATAAAAATCAACTCGGTTACTTTTAGTCTTATTTTTTACACAGGCGTAAAAAGTAAATGATTTGGGGTAAAATTTATGTTTTGGACCTAGATTTGAGTGTAAAACAAAAAACATTAGCTCTGTCCCTTACTAAAAAAATTTTGATTACGTAGGCCTTAAAAGTTATCAAACATGGAAGTCGTACATCTAGAAATTCCCTTATGTCTATATACAAGGAAACTATGCAGCAAGTAGTGGTTGATGAGTAAAGCTATACACAGAGCACCAAATCCCTTTTCTGTGATACAACATTGAATTAAGCGTACGAAACAGGCCTTAAAAGTTATCAAACATGGAAGTCGTACATCTAGAAATTCCCTTATGTCCAAATACAAGGAAACTATGCAGCAAGTAGTGGTTGATGAGTAAAGCTATACACAGAGCACCGAATCCCTTTTCTGTGATACAACATTGAATTAAACGTACGAAACAGGCCTTAAAAGTTATCAAACATGGAAGTCGTACATCTAGAAATTCCCTTATGTCTATATACAAGGAAACTATGCAGCAAGTAGTGGTTGATGAGTAAAGCTATACACAGAGCACCAAATCCCTTTTCTGTGATACAACATTGAATTAAGCGTACGAAACAGTATCTTGGATTCTGGAGGCGAGTTGAAATCATCACACACAGATAGACATAGATTCTACAGGGACTAGAAGTGGCATTTCCTGGATCCCATATAATACTAATAAACACCTATATATTTATGTACATACACATACATCTCGTTCTCTATAATTCCTTAGGAAGTTGATGTTCAAGTATCGCAAGCTAAATTAATGTTTGTAGATGTGACTATCTGTGAATCCCAGAAGTTGAAATTTACATATATGGATATTCTGTAGTTCCAGACTCACCCACATGAGTACTCAGGAACTTCAGATCAAATATGGTTTTAGGATGAGTGCTGAGGAATCTCAGAGCGAATATGGTTTTAGGCTCAGTATTCAGGAACGTCAGAGCGAGTATGGGTTTAGAATGTTACTTAAAGTAAAAATTAAGAGAAGCACAGCGTGCCTGTTACGGAACAATAGATCCTCCTTGGAATGTAGTAATCACTTTCATAGTGAACACGTATACACCAGTTTACTGAACAAAACAATAGCTTGTCAGGTCAATACTAGTTGTATTCTTGACATGTTTTTTTACTAAACATCAAATATTCTTCTACGTTTAGACATACGTTTCTGCACACGAAGTTTTTACTGAACATGAAGTGTGGTAGCATTTTTTACCATTAAGAGAGATATGTTTGATGTGGTGATTTAAAGAACTCGTTGTTGTCAAAGTACCTTGACGTAAGAGGTGACGTGAAGCTGCGCACTGCAGCAAGCGGACAAAAGCTTCTCTGAAGTTGGAAGATATGACATTGTAGAGGATCGGGTTGATGGCGGAGTTGAGATAATGCATCACACGACAGAAGTAAAGAAGTACGTAGTAACCTTCCATCCCAAGAGACTGGACTTGCTCCGGAGATGCTGTGATGGACCATATTGTGAACGATCGGAAAGGCATTAAGCAAACGAAGAAGCACACCATCACAGCTGCTAGCATCACCACTGCTTGCTTCCGAGCGAGAACCTGGGAATTTTCAGGAGTGGAAGTGAAAAGAATTCGATCCACCACTAACCGCTTGGAAATCATCCCATAAATTACAAGTAGAACTATGAGTGGAACCCAGAAAAAGACAACAGTTATGAGAAAGAAGTAGGATTTTTTCCAGATGGTAATAGCTTGGGTCAGACAAATAGGAACAGTAGATCCGTCTACATATTCAGTGTGTGTATACTCCGCTATAACTAACATAGGGCTAGTTATGAGGACTGAAACTACCCACACCAAAACAATGATGACCAGAGCCCTTATCTTGGTACACTTGTAGCTGGCCTTTAGTGGTTTACAGATGGCGTAGTAGCGCTCAAAGCTGATGGCCAAGATGGTCAGGATGGATCCATGAGCTACTGCTAGTTCCACAAATGGAACAGCTTTACCTAAAAATAGAAATACACTATTAGTGAAATATTTTGTAAATAATTTTAATGTCTTAAATAAAGCATGATAATTTATCTTATTAATGTCTTAAATAAAGCATGATAATTTATCTTCAAAGATTATTTTTATTGGTTGTTTAGTATTGTGTGCTATCTAGCCCAAGCCATGTTCATTTTATGTCGTTTTATCCACAATAGTGTGTGTATTTTAGGGTAGAGCCATAATTGGCTATCTGCCGTGTCCATCCACAGAAGTAGCTTAAAAAAATACTTGAGTAATAATTCAAGCCAGATAATCCAAAACAGAACTGAGTTTAGATAAATAAAAAAGTAGTCGACTTTATTTATATTTGTGAGTGCGCGTTTGTTTATAAGAACTTATATTCATTACAAGAGAACAGTTAGAGAAATTAAGAATTATAATTTAATGAAAAACAATTCGGAAGTATAATCTACTTATTTATATCTAATTTTTGTGTGTGCGCGTCTGTTTAGAAGAATCTGTATTCATTGCTACAGAACAGTTAGAAGAATTAATAATTATGATTTTGTGAAAACAATTCAGTAGTATAATCTATTTATTTATATTTATTTTTTGTGTATGCATCTGTTTAGAACATTCTGTGTTAAATACTACAGAACATTGGGAGAAATTAAGAATTATAACTCAGTGAAACAATTCGGTAGTATAATCTATTTAATTATATGTATTTGTGTGTGTGTCTGTTTAGAGCAATTTGTGTTGATTACTACAGAACAGTTAGACAAATTAATGATTATAATTTTGTGAAAAAAAATTATAACAAAATCTATATATATCTATATATTTGTTTATGTATTAATATTTTAAGAAATTCCTAGAAAATAGTTAGAGGAATCAATAATAAGAGCTGAATTTAAAATTAATTAAAAACAAAAACTTATAATGGTTTAATTGCACTGCATCATTAATTTTGTACTTTAGCTATTAGCAATAGTTTCAGCCCTAAATATAATATCTCATTAGGTTCGGCCAGTTAGGCCTATATATCAAACTAAGCTAAAATATCAATTTATTTTATATAACCATCAGTCTCCAATACAAAAGTAAATTAATATAATTTAAAAGTCGTTAATACTTATTAGGTTTCATGGAATTAAAAATATAGCATTTCAAAAACTCAAATCCTAGGTTGTATCAAACATTAAATATAATACGAAGAAAACTCAGATGTGTTTTTAAATTTTTATCAGAAGTTATCTAATACATCAAGAAATTCATCAATTTTAGTTTCAAACTTGGTAAAGTATTACTTTAAAATATACACCTGGAAAAAAAGTTAAGCACCCCCGTGTTTTTCTCAAGTG